TTTTCTGGTTGGGTGTTTTTTGCTTCTTCGTATTTCAAATCTTTGACCTGATTCTTGCGATCATCTGGTCTGCTGTTGGGAGTCTGTATAATATTCTTTATTTCAGTCCGTGTATGCTTAATTTCTAGTTGGTCCTTTATCACAACATCGAGGGTCTCACTAGATTTCTTAAGGATCTCAATACATTTATCGGCGGTTTCCATAAAATTCTTGAAAAATCTTAGAACCGTGGTTTTGAACTCTATATCCAGTCGTTTGCTGTCCTCCATTTCTGTCATTTGTGACCTGTTTCTTTGTCTTCGCATTTTGTCTGCTTCCCTGTGTTGGTAGAGTGGTTTTGTGTGCTAGGTGTCCTATAGGGCCCAGTGGCTCAGCCTCCCCAGTTACCTGAGGTGGACACTCTTGGTGCACCCCCTTGTGGGCTTTGTGCACAGTCTTGTTGTAGTTATGCCTTGATTGTTTTAGGTGTCACTGGGAGGAATTGACCTCCAGGCCAATTGGCTGTGAGAATCAGCTGTGTCTATGGTGGGAGAACTTCTGTGCTGAAGACACCCTTCTGGGGCAAGACTTGCTTCAGTGGGGCTTTGGTGCTCACTGAGTCTGCCCCCTGAGTGTGTCCCTTATGGATCTGAGGAGTTGTAATCTGGATGGTCCCACTCTGACCACTGGGTACACTGGCTCTTGGATCTCTAAAGAGGTGCTAATTTAGCCTCTGCCTGAGGCTACTCAGCAGGAGCTACGAAGATATCTGCAGATTCCCCTTCCTTGTTTGGGGTTTGGAGGTGCCCAGATGAGGCCCAGCTGTGAAGCAATGCAAGCTGCTGTGGGACCTTGGGCCTTCTCTTGGAAGTTCTAGGTCTGTCTGGCCCAGCTGCAGTTTGTTAGGTAATTTTCAGATTGCAAAGGGCCAGGGTGGATGCAACACAGGGGAACACTACACAGGTGAACACATATGTAAAAATGCACTGAGCTATACAAATTAAAATCTGTGTACTCTACTGTATAGTTAATACATTTTAAAGTACTTTTGTAGAAGAATATTGAATTACTTGAGGAAATATTTATGATATATTGTTGAATGAAAGAAAAGTGGTTAAAGGGCAATAGGTGTAATATGATCCCCCAAAAACATTATATGATTATGATGATTATGGTGTTAACCTTGAAAATAAAATGTTGTTACAGTAAATGTTTCAAGTGCATTTACATATTAACAGACTAGCTAGTCTGCAAAGATGACTACACTCCCACAATGAACTACACTTCCAAATATTCCTGCCTTGTAGAATCCCCTCCCACACTGAACCTGGGCTGGCCTGTGACTCCAGGGGAAATGTGGTCGACATTCCAGCCTAACCTTTAAGAGGCTCAGCAGTGCTGCTTCTTGTCTCTTGGATCACATGCCTTTAGGAACCTTGAACCATTATCATGTGAGAAGTCTGGCTGTCCTGTTGGAGAAACCATATGGAGAGACTATGCGGAGATAGCATGTGGAAAGAGAGCCCCAAGCCTGCGTAGAGAGAGCGCAGGAGAGAGAGAGACGGGACCTGGCTCCCCACCCTTTCAGCTGAGTGCAGATTTAACCATCCCTCCAAGGCCTCATGGGACTGAACCGTCAGACTCTCCAGCCTCGATGATTGCAGCCCCAGCTGATACCACAAGAAGTAGATCACCCAGCTGAGTCAGTCAAATAATGAAATGGTTGTTGTTTTAAACTACTGAGGTGAGGGGTGGTTTGTTACCCAGCAAGGGGTAACTGGCCCAGCTCAATGTCTGCGAAACTGTTCACTAACATGGCAAGTTCGCTGTCTATACTGCTTGTCCCACACGCCCTCCACCCTCCTGTGCTCCTCATGGTGAACACCGCACCACCACCCACAGAGTTGCCCAGCAGCCCCACAGGTGGGGAGGGGAAACTCGTTTGATTATAAGCTGTGATACCAGTGTCACTCCATCCCCAGAACTCAGCCCAGGCCTAGCAATTGTGCTGCTCAAAATTCACTTATTGAAGGAGACAACGAATACATTCAATTCCACAAATTATTCTGTCTTCTCACACTTCCATTCCCCGGGCTGATTCTTTTACGCCCAACACTAGCCCATTAATAATTGATTCGCTTAACTCTTAGATTAAGCTGGAAGTCACCTTTTCCAAGGTGTCCTGCTGCTCCCCTCGCCCCAGCCTGGCCATTAAGGTCTCCTCCTCTGTGCTCCATGCATGGATAGAGGCACGACAGCCCAATAAAAGCAGCACAGGAAGGCAGGTTGCAAAGCCTGCCTCTGCTGTGTGTTGAGGGAACCGTTTCTTTGAAATGCCTCCTAAGGCCTTCTCCCTCATCACCGGGCAGGTTTGTTTCCTGCAGCCTTTCCACCTTTGAAGCTCAGCCATGAGGGTTTTCACTCAACTAAGATGCCTGAGCAGGTGCTGCCTGGAACACAGAGGTCCTCGATGTGCTTTGAGCCGCAGGCTGACTTACTAGAGTCAGGTAGTGAGATAACAGTCAAACCATTCACACGTGGAGAGAGAACAGGCTTTCTAAATTCCAAATTTTCAACTTACAGCTGCTCAATAGCCGGGCTTGGCTGATTTGAACTAGATAATTTGGGGTCTAGATAGTCCTGGGTGACTTCTGGGGGGGAGGGGCTTGCAAGGAGCTGGGGCCTGCCATGGCACACCCAGGTCGGGGGAGCTAAGTGGAGCAGGAGAGCCCCTAGGGTTGGGTCAGGTCAGAGCAGAGACATGGGAGACCTGGGGCACCAGCTGGAGCTGAGGTGAGATAAAGTCGGCTGGGGACGGGTGGGGGTGGGGCACGGGATTGAGGAGTGGGTGAGTTATAGAGACTTTAGACTCTGATGGTGCTTAAAAACCAGACCTCAAATCAGGTCAGCTGCACACCTGCCAGCCCCAGGGCCTGTGTAGCTCCCAAACAATCAGGTGGGACCTGCAGAGCCCCTCCCCAGCTCATCACCCAAATACCAGGGCCGAGGGGCCACTCCTCAGCCAGTGGGAGCCAGGGTAGAGAGGTGTGTCAGGAGGAAACGTGAGCTCCTGCTTGAACCCAGGTGAATGTTAGGAACGGGGAGGGGGATGAAGGAAAGAGCCCCAGTAGGCAGCTGGATTTCAAAATCACTGTCTTACACTACAAAGGGCGGGGAGAGATGGAGCTACATATCAGGAGCATGGTTATGTTGGTGCTGCCGTCAGCGGGAAGCTCACCCAGCATGAGATGAGCTTGGTCACAGAGGAGCCTTGGTTTTGCACGTCTTGAGTGTAGTGTGTCAGTTTCAACTCTGATTACCCAGACAGGCTGGGCAACCTTGATCAGGTTGTTAACCTCTCCAGGCCTTAGCTTCTGCATCTGTAATGTGAGGGTAATTGCCCTAAATGAGGACTAAATGATATAAGATCTTGTAGGAACAGTGCTGGAAGCAGAGTCGGCCCTGAAAAGGTGGCAGATGTGACTTGTCCCTCTCTGATAAGACCACTGAATTGTCATGGCTGGTTGTCTTCCCCGTCTCATTGTCTAAGCATCCAGCTCATGAGACCAGGGGCAACTCAAGGACAGAAACTCCATCTTACTCAGTTTGTGTCCTGAGCACTGAGCCTACTGCTGGGCCCACGCTTGTTGAATGAATTTATCTGGAACAATACAGAGAAGCGGGCTTAAAGCTGGAGGCCTCCGAAGGACTGGCAGGCAGTCTAGAGAATGAGGCTCCCCAAACTCATGTTGGCGTCCTGCCTCCTGAGGCTGCCTTTGTCCCCAGGGGTCTGGCCCTGCCCCTATGGTGCCAGAAACTGCCAACAGAAACCGTGGGTCTGGTGCTGTGGGTCGCCAGTCAAGGCAGGCCCGAGCCCTTACTGTTCACAAAGACTGTCAGATGTTAACGGCAGGAGGACGCTGGCCATCTGCCATTGGAACCTGAACAGCTGCCTGGCAGGGAGAGGCATACAGCCTGTTCACTGAGAGCCTGGAGGGGAAGCTTAAGGTCTAAGAAATGAGTGAGGAGTCAGGCAGGAGAGAGCGATGGGGCGTCACTCAACTAGAGAGCATACATATTGGCGCTGTGCATTGGCTCTGTGCCCGCAGTGTGCCCAGACTTTTTCTGTGTTATCTCTCCGCATCTTCGGAGCAGCGTTCCTGAGAAAGTATGCCTACTCCCAATTTACAACTGAGAAAATGAAAGCCACAGAGTTCAAGTAATGTTCCCAGGGAACAGAGCCAGCAAGGGGTGAGCAGACAATGGGGGCCAGTCTGGGCCCACAGGGCCCGGCACACCCACAGACGCGGGGCACCCTGGATCATACCCGTGCTTCCCACAGCGGTAGAATGCTCGCTCCCCAGCTGGGACATGCTCCTGCCGCTCATCTTTCTGACACGGCCACAAGTTGCCACATCTTCTCTCTTTTCAGTGCCCCCACCAAACGTGGGCAAACATCTCCGATGAAATCAGACAGCAGAGGGTGCGAGGTGTTGCCCCGCCTCAGCCCAGCTCTGCTCTATGCAGCAGCTCTCTGACCTGTGTTAGCTTTTCTGCCAAATGAGACTGGCTGACCCCTAAGGCCTCTGGCTCTAACAGGCACAATGCCGTGAGCTGCTACCCGAAGTGATTCCACTGCACAGGATCGTACCCAGCCTGACTGAAGATTATCAACCCCAAACGGGATCCGTTTTAAATGTCACACTAGGAACGTGTCCTTAGAAATAAATTTGTGCGATGAATGGCAGAGTCTGGCTCCCAGGAAAAGGAAAAAATAAAATAAGCATGTCTCTATCGAGTGCAGGGACCTCAGCGCTGACTTTGAACATCACAGAAGCTCGGCATGGAAAACTGGCGGGCCCTGAGGCTGTGCTGCCTACATACAGGGACAGGTGTGGCTTGAACGCGTGTGTTCCCTATTAGCAGGCTCAGCCTCCACCCAGAAATCTTGAAAATCTCTTCACTAAGTAGTCCGGACAAATGGTATCAACTCTATGCATTACACGAACACTCCAGTCCACAGGGCAGCACAGTATAGGAAAGACTTACTAAGGGAATAAAACTTCCAAACCTAGAGATTTTATGCCACAGGAAAACCATGCTCTTTCCTGAGTACAGCATCCATTCCTTCCAAAGCACTTCAATGTATCTTCTCCGTAATTCCCAGTGCATGACAGACAGATAAGCTGCACCCTCATGTGTGCAGCCCTCAGTGTACAGCCCTCAGTGTACAGCCCTCAGTGTACAGCCCTCAGTGGTACAGCCCCTCAGTGTACAGCCCTCAGTGTACAGCCCCTCAGTGTACAGCCCTCAGTGTACAGCCCCTCAGTGTACAGCCCTCAGTGTACAGCCCCTCAGTGTACAGCCCTCAGTGTACAGCCCCTCAGTGTACAGCCCTCAGTGTACAGCCCCTCAGTGTACAGCCCTCAGTGTACAGCCCCTCAGTGTACAGCCCTCAGTGTACAGCCCCTCAGTGTACAGCCCTCAGTGTACAGCCCCTCAGTGTACAGCCCTCAGTGTACAGCCCCTCAGTGTACAGCCCTCAGTGTACAGCCCCTAAGTGTGCAGCCCTCAGTGTACAGCCCCTCAGTGTACAGTCCGCAGTGTACAGCCCTCAGTGTACAGCCCTCAGTGTCCAGCCCTCAGTGTACAGCCCTCAGTGTCCAGCCCTCAGTGTACAGCCCTCAGTGTCCAGCCCTCAGTGTACAGCCCTCAGTGTCCAGCCCTCAGTGTACAGCCCTCAGTGTCCAGCCCTCAGTGTACAGCCCTCAGTGTCCAGCCCTCAGTGTACAGCCCTCAGTGTCCAGCCCTCAGTGTACAGCCCTCAGTGTCCAGCCCTCAGTGTACAGCCCTCAGTGTCCAGCCCTCAGTGTACAGCCCTCAGTGTCCAGCCCTCAGTGTACAGCCCTCAGTGTCCAGCCCTCAGTGTACAGCCCTCAGTGTCCAGCCCTCAGTGTACAGCCCTCAGTGTCCAGCCCTCAGTGTACAGCCCTCAGTGTCCAGCCCTCAGTGTACAGCCCTCAGTGTCCAGCCCTCAGTGTACAGCCCTCAGTGTCCAGCCCTCAGTGTACAGCCCTCAGTGTCCAGCCCTCAGTGTACAGCCCTCAGTGTCCAGCCCTCAGTGTACAGCCCTCAGTGTCCAGCCCTCAGTGTACAGCCCTCAGTGTCCAGCCCTCAGTGTACAGCCCTCAGTGTCCAGCCCTCAGTGTACAGCCCTCAGTGTCCAGCCCTCAGTGTACAGCCCTCAGTGTCCAGCCCTCAGTGTACAGCCCTCAGTGTCCAGCCCTCAGTGTACAGCCCTCAGTGTCCAGCCCTCAGTGTACAGCCCTCAGTGTCCAGCCCTCAGTGTACAGCCCTCAGTGTCCAGCCCTCAGTGTACAGCCCTCAGTGTCCAGCCCTCAGTGTACAGCCCTCAGTGTCCAGCCCTCAGTGTACAGCCCTCAGTGTCCAGCCCTCAGTGTACAGCCCTCAGTGTCCAGCCCTCAGTGTACAGCCCTCAGTGTCCAGCCCTCAGTGTACAGCCCTCAGTGTCCAGCCCTCAGTGTACAGCCCTCAGTGTCCAGCCCTCAGTGTACAGCCCTCAGTGTCCAGCCCTCAGTGTACAGCCCTCAGTGTCCAGCCCTCAGTGTACAGCCCTCAGTGTCCAGCCCTCAGTGTACAGCCCTCAGTGTCCAGCCCTCAGTGTACAGCCCTCAGTGTCCAGCCCTCAGTGTACAGCCCTCAGTGTCCAGCCCTCAGTGTACAGCCCTCAGTGTCCAGCCCTCAGTGTACAGCCCTCAGTGTCCAGCCCTCAGTGTACAGCCCTCAGTGTCCAGCCCTCAGTGTACAGCCCTCAGTGTCCAGCCCTCAGTGTACAGCCCTCAGTGTCCAGCCCTCAGTGTACAGCCCTCAGTGTCCAGCCCTCAGTGTACAGCCCTCAGTGTCCAGCCCTCAGTGTACAGCCCTCAGTGTCCAGCCCTCAGTGTACAGCCCTCAGTGTCCAGCCCTCAGTGTACAGCCCTCAGTGTCCAGCCCTCAGTGTACAGCCCTCAGTGTCCAGCCCTCAGTGTACAGCCCTCAGTGTCCAGCCCTCAGTGTACAGCCCTCAGTGTCCAGCCCTCAGTGTACAGCCCTCAGTGTCCAGCCCTCAGTGTACAGCCCTCAGTGTCCAGCCCTCAGTGTACAGCCCTCAGTGTCCAGCCCTCAGTGTACAGCCCTCAGTGTCCAGCCCTCAGTGTACAGCCCTCAGTGTCCAGCCCTCAGTGTACAGCCCTCAGTGTCCAGCCCTCAGTGTACAGCCCTCAGTGTCCAGCCCTCAGTGTACAGCCCTCAGTGTCCAGCCCTCAGTGTACAGCCCTCAGTGTCCAGCCCTCAGTGTACAGCCCTCAGTGTCCAGCCCTCAGTGTACAGCCCTCAGTGTCCAGCCCTCAGTGTACAGCCCTCAGTGTCCAGCCCTCAGTGTACAGCCCTCAGTGTCCAGCCCTCAGTGTACAGCCCTCAGTGTCCAGCCCTCAGTGTACAGCCCTCAGTGTCCAGCCCTCAGTGTACAGCCCTCAGTGTCCAGCCCTCAGTGTACAGCCCTCAGTGTCCAGCCCTCAGTGTACAGCCCTCAGTGTCCAGCCCTCAGTGTACAGCCCTCAGTGTCCAGCCCTCAGTGTACAGCCCTCAGTGTCCAGCCCTCAGTGTACAGCCCTCAGTGTCCAGCCCTCAGTGTACAGCCCTCAGTGTCCAGCCCTCAGTGTACAGCCCTCAGTGTCCAGCCCTCAGTGTACAGCCCTCAGTGTCCAGCCCTCAGTGTACAGCCCTCAGTGTCCAGCCCTCAGTGTACAGCCCTCAGTGTCCAGCCCTCAGTGTACAGCCCTCAGTGTCCAGCCCTCAGTGTACAGCCCTCAGTGTCCAGCCCTCAGTGTACAGCCCTCAGTGTCCAGCCCTCAGTGTACAGCCCTCAGTGTCCAGCCCTCAGTGTACAGCCCTCAGTGTCCAGCCCTCAGTGTACAGCCCTCAGTGTCCAGCCCTCAGTGTACAGCCCTCAGTGTCCAGCCCTCAGTGTACAGCCCTCAGTGTCCAGCCCTCAGTGTACAGCCCTCAGTGTCCAGCCCTCAGTGTACAGCCCTCAGTGTCCAGCCCTCAGTGTACAGCCCTCAGTGTCCAGCCCTCAGTGTACAGCCCTCAGTGTCCAGCCCTCAGTGTACAGCCCTCAGTGTCCAGCCCTCAGTGTACAGCCCTCAGTGTCCAGCCCTCAGTGTACAGCCCTCAGTGTCCAGCCCTCAGTGTACAGCCCTCAGTGTCCAGCCCTCAGTGTACAGCCCTCAGTGTCCAGCCCTCAGTGTACAGCCCTCAGTGTCCAGCCCTCAGTGTACAGCCCTCAGTGTCCAGCCCTCAGTGTACAGCCCTCAGTGTCCAGCCCTCAGTGTACAGCCCTCAGTGTCCAGCCCTCAGTGTACAGCCCTCAGTGTCCAGCCCTCAGTGTACAGCCCTCAGTGTCCAGCCCTCAGTGTACAGCCCTCAGTGTCCAGCCCTCAGTGTACAGCCCTCAGTGTCCAGCCCTCAGTGTACAGCCCTCAGTGTCCAGCCCTCAGTGTACAGCCCTCAGTGTCCAGCCCTCAGTGTACAGCCCTCAGTGTCCAGCCCTCAGTGTACAGCCCTCAGTGTCCAGCCCTCAGTGTACAGCCCTCAGTGTCCAGCCCTCAGTGTACAGCCCTCAGTGTCCAGCCCTCAGTGTACAGCCCTCAGTGTCCAGCCCTCAGTGTACAGCCCTCAGTGTCCAGCCCTCAGTGTACAGCCCTCAGTGTCCAGCCCTCAGTGTACAGCCCTCAGTGTCCAGCCCTCAGTGTACAGCCCTCAGTGTCCAGCCCTCAGTGTACAGCCCTCAGTGTCCAGCCCTCAGTGTACAGCCCTCAGTGTCCAGCCCTCAGTGTACAGCCCTCAGTGTCCAGCCCTCAGTGTACAGCCCTCAGTGTCCAGCCCTCAGTGTACAGCCCTCAGTGTCCAGCCCTCAGTGTACAGCCCTCAGTGTCCAGCCCTCAGTGTACAGCCCTCAGTGTCCAGCCCTCAGTGTACAGCCCTCAGTGTCCAGCCCTCAGTGTACAGCCCTCAGTGTCCAGCCCTCAGTGTACAGCCCTCAGTGTCCAGCCCTCAGTGTACAGCCCTCAGTGTCCAGCCCTCAGTGTACAGCCCTCAGTGTCCAGCCCTCAGTGTACAGCCCTCAGTGTCCAGCCCTCAGTGTACAGCCCTCAGTGTCCAGCCCTCAGTGTACAGCCCTCAGTGTCCAGCCCTCAGTGTACAGCCCTCAGTGTCCAGCCCTCAGTGTACAGCCCTCAGTGTCCAGCCCTCAGTGTACAGCCCTCAGTGTCCAGCCCTCAGTGTACAGCCCTCAGTGTCCAGCCCTCAGTGTACAGCCCTCAGTGTCCAGCCCTCAGTGTACAGCCCTCAGTGTCCAGCCCTCAGTGTACAGCCCTCAGTGTCCAGCCCTCAGTGTACAGCCCTCAGTGTCCAGCCCTCAGTGTACAGCCCTCAGTGTCCAGCCCTCAGTGTACAGCCCTCAGTGTCCAGCCCTCAGTGTACAGCCCTCAGTGTCCAGCCCTCAGTGTACAGCCCTCAGTGTCCAGCCCTCAGTGTACAGCCCTCAGTGTCCAGCCCTCAGTGTACAGCCCTCAGTGTCCAGCCCTCAGTGTACAGCCCTCAGTGTCCAGCCCTCAGTGTACAGCCCTCAGTGTCCAGCCCTCAGTGTACAGCCCTCAGTGTCCAGCCCTCAGTGTACAGCCCTCAGTGTCCAGCCCTCAGTGTACAGCCCTCAGTGTACAGCCCTCAGTGTGCAGCCCAGGGCCTCTGGAGAGATGGTGCTCTTGACAGCAGCAGACAGTTGGTAATCAAATCAATGTCCTTCATATCCAGCTCCAAAATGAACAAGACCCTAGGAAAGATAAGCAACCCAGTTACAATCTTTGAACGGGAGCAAACCAGTCTTTCTAAGCTAAATTCTTGGATTTTTTGCTGGTCAACAAGAATTTCCTATACTTCACAACCTCTAAAGGACCCATGGAAATTACTCAACAACTTAGAAATAGAGACTGAATGTGGATGATATCTTGCTAAATCAAGGGCCTCGGCACTATTTTTCCTCCTAGCATGTTAAGATCCCAAACCCAGCTCTAATTCACTGTCACCCAGGCACTATCAGTCGTCATCAAGTTTTTGGCCCCTTGATAGCACCTGTCTGGT